CGGCATGGAAGTATTAAATATTTGACACTAAGTATTTGTACCTTTGAATGTTTCGGTATAATTCGTTGGTGACGTTTAAATAATAATAATTCGAGGAAAGTTTTTGGTATTTTATTTATTTTTATACTGGAAATGTTCATCTTGGAGAGGGTATATACTTTGCGATCAGGTAATTTCATATATGTTCTTTTTACGGATTTAAAGATTCAAAATTTTCATGCATTTTCGTGAAATTTTCTAATTTATGAGAAAAAAGCAGTGTACATGGCTTAGTGAAGAGTGTGCACAATGCCATTTTTGTGCAATTCTGGGATGTTAGTAAATTAATTCGACGTGTACATGTTTCGTGATTTTAATAAATGATAGTTATTTTGTGAATTTATGTTTGTAGGAATTTGGTATTTTTTCAGTTGAAGTAAACGTGTATGGAAATAATTTAAATATTTGACACTAAGTATTTGTAACCATTTGTAATGTTTACGGTATGAATTCGTTTGGACGTTTATAATATAATAGATAATTTAGAGGTAAAGTTTTTGGATATTTTATTTATTTTATGCGTGGAAATGTTCAACCTTGGAAAGGGTATATACTTTTTCGCGATCAGGTAATTTCATATATGTGCTTTTTACTGAGTTTAATGATTCACAGAATTTTTTTTTGCATTTTCGTGCAAATTTTTTAATTTATGAGAAAATAACAGTGTAGATGGATAAAGTTAAAAGTGTTGCAATGCCATTTTTGTGCAATTCTGGGATGTTTTTTAATACAAATAAGTCGACGTGTAATGGTTTATGTGTATGTGCTATTCTGAAAAACGTGCAAGGAGTTGGCGATTGTGCATTTTTTCCCATTTTGCAGTTAATATTGTCATGATTAAGCATTTTGTTAATAATTTTCTAGCATAAGTGTAATTTCGGCTTATATTCTTGGAAAAGTGTTCATTAATAAAAAGAAAAGAACATGTCTTTACTTCATGAAGACAAAATGGCGGCGAAAAAAAAAATAGAGGGTTACTGTAGCAGAGTTGGTTGCCAAGTTACCATAATCCAAAGATCAACCTTACACTGTTGTGTATTACACTTTTTGATCACATAGCACTGTATCTACATGTGATTGTAGAAGAGAAGCTTATCTATAAAGTAAATTGAATTTTCTTTGTCTAGAGGTCCTTTTAGTAATGGAGCCTACTAGTTGCCAAGAGATTTAAGGTCACTGAATATTGGTAGATTCACCTGAGTAATGGGCTGGTTTTATAGTTTTCACTATATGTAGCATGAATAAGAGTTAGTGCCATCTAGATGGGATAGTTGTTAGTGTCTTAAACTACTGCACTGAATGGCCCGAGTTTGAATCTCGGAGAAGGCATGTATGCTTGTAAATGTATAGTGTGTGGCATGGGGCAGTCAAACATCAAGTAGTTAGGTGGTAGAGGGGAAAGACTTGGGGAGATCACCCAGATCCTTAGGGTGCTGTCCTTCAAAACTGGGCAAAGTTGATAATGTTACTCATATAGTACTCAGGGTTCATGCCAAAGACATTCTTGTACTCCTTGCCATGATAAAATGCTTGGGCTTTTGAGATTAGCAACAACAACATAAGAACCACTTTCCATTAAAAAAAATCCATGAAGGCATCCCTTAGGCAATGGCTGTCGTGTACTTTATTATATTCAAATAATCAACAAAATCCTCGAGTAACAGAAGCATATTTTAAAGTCGGTGCTTTGTCACATTTGCCTGTTCATTTATACAATATATATTCTTTTTGTGCCATCAAATTTTGAATAATTTAACATGGTTTGTAGTTTAGAGAACAGTCAAAAGAGACAAGGAATCATGTTAAAGAGATTTTAAGGTAAGTATATGCATGAAAACATGTAGTTTGGCTGAAGATAGGATATAGATTTTGCTACAAATCAGTGTATTGCCAAATCTGTTGGCTGAATCATTTGTTTATCATAGATAACACCAAATTTATTTCAGTTTCATTGATTCTTAAATATCAGTTTTCTGTTTATACAGATACACTTGCAGTTTCTTCCATATTTCTGCTTGAGGATAGCTGTTCATATTGCTGGTCTGTGTATAATAATATTTGGCTATTTTTGAAATATTATCAGTCATTAATTTGTAAAACTTTCAGAAATTTATTGCTGAAATGCTTTTGAACTATCTTAAGTAGTATCTGATTATATTTCATTATGTTTTTGACAACATTTCCTGCAGTAAATTTCCTGTTAACAGTTGTTATCTTTGTTGATATCTCTTAGAGGTACAATAAAGTTGTATAATCTGTAGAATTTCTGTTAATATAAATAGGCAGGTTAACACTGATGGAAAAGTTAATACATACTTACTAATGCCTGAAACTATGTTTCATTATTTCAGAGTTCCTACTCATTTGAAAAGGAAACATTGGATAATTATTTTTTTATTTAGATCTGTAATTGTGTAGAATACAAAGTCCAAGATTCAGAAATTGGGACTTTCTCGATTCTGTATTTCAGAAATTTCTGGAATTTTAGATCATCAGTTTAAATGTACTAAAATTATATGTAGAAATTATGAAGTTAACAATACGAAAGGTTGATTGTAAAATGATGAAGTGTTTATGACCTTATAGAAGCCAAAATTTACCCACATACACACATACGAAAAAAAAAAGTTTCAGTATTGATATTTCTTTTGTTTCATTGAATATTTTTCTTAAGTAGCTCCAGCAATTTACAGACACAGGTCCTTCTTCACAAGAAGCAAAAAGATTTGGGCAGAAACCATTGTCTGAATGCCCTTAAAATCCATAGAATTTTATTTAAAACCTGTGCTAAAATAAGGTTTTTGTTTTGCCTAACTTTAAATTTTACATTAGTGTGTATCTCTTTCTGTTCAGTTTCATTTTATGTGTTAATATGCATTCACTTTGATTTTATAGAAAGGCATGGTTTCTAATTCAGTTACCAAGTTTTAATGCTCAGATCCTAAAATTGCCACATCGAAAATTCTCATTAAGGAATTGGTTTAAATCTTTTCATTCTCAGTAACTTCTTTATCTCTTTTATCACAATCAGTGGCGATATTTTTCAGATTAAAAATCATACTAAAAATTTTGCTATCTATGAATTAATATTGAATCTTCCATTTGAGATTATTCTATTGAATCTTCCATCGAGATGACAGTGCTTGTTCATTGTCATCTCAATGGGAAAATTTAAGTTATATTCATTTAGCATTTCTTAATGTATTTCATTAGTTACAAACTTTTGCTTTTTAAGTTGTGATATTATTAAAAAATCTTCAAATTCATGTCTGTCGTTATCATCATGAAGTATGATAACTGGCTATAAACAGGTCTTGCTCCAATGTTTTCAGTGGTCTAAGCATATGGTTTGTGGCCCATGGTAAAATAAAATATGTTCATAATTCAAAATGAAAAATAGGTTTATTTAATTGTCACCTGTGAGAGCAACATAATCTGCCACCTTTCAGAAATTGGCACCTTATGCCCCTATGAAAGCATTTTAAAAAATAGCTATAGACCTGTCCTTTTATGACCTTGCAGTGCTCAACACATTAAAATTTTGCATTAAAATATTTCACAAATTGTAGGTCTTACTGCTGTATCATTATTAAACAGGCTGCTTTATGTCTGCATTTCATGAGGGCAGAATTCAGATATTCAGTGGCTAATTGATGAATTAAAATATCGAGGAAAGAGTAAAATGGAGATACAGTCTTTAACTAAAACATTAATTTTGATAAGGTAATTATAATAGACTGAACAGGAGCTGATCCAGATCAAATCACAAAGTTAAGGGAAAGGCCATTTGCAGTGCTAACTGAGCTTAAGTTAATCAAAACCTAACTCTTTCTCCTGCTTCTGTTATATGCTAATAAAAGTAAGTCGGGCAGTATGTGCACCATACCACTCCAAATTAACATTTGTTTGTCATTGAATTTAGGGTTCATTTATTGTGCACAAGGCTAGATAAGATAGAAAAAGACTGTCTTCTCCCTACCTTCCACAGCCTTTGATGGCTGTTAGGTTTTTGAAGCCAAAACATGCAGAATGATTCAACATTATCTTGAGTAATGGTATTTTTTTAGCCCTGGGGACATTTAACGAATGGGAATAAAAGTGGATTTACAGCACATTAGCTTTTGCTTAATATTTTATTCTCTGTTCCTGCACTGTATTAAAAAAAAGAAGGGGGGATTAAAAAAATTTGGAAGGTTTGGATATCATTCCAGTTATTGGACATCTGGATTTCAGACATTGTACTATAGTCTATGGTTCTGATACTTTTAATATCAGAGCTAAATCAACCAAAGTAGCAAGATTTAAAGTGAATGTGAAATAAAAATTAATAAATTCTAAGCTTTAAAAATTAGCACATAAAAAAGGGTATTTAAAATTTATTATCATGGTTAAAAATTCATGACCCTTTCTGGTAGCATTGTTTTCACTCTTTTTTGAGTATCCCTGAGGAACAGGAATCAGATTTGAAATGCTTGATAACCTGTTCATGAAGAAAAACATCACCTATCTACATGACAAATTTCATAATATTTGCATTGTTTGGGTATCAAACATCTAGATATTTTCAGCTTTATTATTAGAATTTCTTTTTATGTGTTTCACATGAAAGCATAAACAATCAGTAGTCATTTACAGTTTTATGAACTTTTAGCCTTTATTAAAACTGTTCAGCAATTTGATTTCAGCAACTATTTTTTAACATTTTAATTCCAAAATGTTTTTAAATGAGATAAACTTTTGCAGTTCTATCTCTTGGTAACTTATTATTTTCAATGTAACTATAAAAGAAATGATTTCTTGAATACAATTTTCAATCAGTAATACTAGCTAGAGCTTAGTATCTTGATTGTATTTTATTTTAAAGTAAGCTTTTTTAGTGTTAAATGTAATTTAGGTAAGAGGTATTGTTTACTTTAATTGTTATAATATCTTTGTAAATGATGGTTTTTAGGTTAATTTATTTATTTCTTTTTTGACATTAGATTTGTTGATGATTTAAGTGGCTGTGGAGAAGAAGTAACTGATTGTAGTGATGACTATCTTCTTGCTAAAATGTTACAACTGGAATTTGACAAAGAACATGACAGTATTTTGAAACAAGAGGAGTCAAAGTACAATGGGAGTAGTAAAGGTGTATATATGAATTTTTTTTTTTTATTATTATTTTAGGTATCTGAATTTTTCTTTTAGGAATTTTCAACAATTTTTTGTTATGGTTGCCAAAGTATGGATTGACAATGGCAAAAATTTTTAATCTTCCTTAGATTATGAAAAAAAAATTGGTTCTGTTAACAGTTGTTATTGTTATGCCAGAAATATTAAAAATATAATTATTTTGATGTAAAAATTTAATACATAGGTTAGGAACTTGTCTGAACTAGAAAAGAAGGTATGCAGATTCCTTTATTTTAAATTAATCTAAATAATGCATTTAATTTAAGATGTATTCCTGAATTTCAGTCTCATCAAATGGAGGGTAGAAAAAAACCAGGTTTGTACGGTCCTTAAGAGTCCTTAAAAATCCTTAAATTTTTTGGAATCGATTTTTGGTCCTTAATTTTGTCCAAAATCAGCAGAAAGTTCTTAATTTTAATCATCTGAAATTTCTGTCTGTTTTTATGACTGCCATTTTGAGTGTGAATTATCATTTTGGAGGAATATTTTTGGCGATTCACTGACACATATGATTATCTTTTGAATGGGTTATAATTTGTTTCTTTTTTAATATAAATGATGGGATTCTCGAGTTTCTAAGCAAGAAGTGAAACATAAGCATTTCAAAATTAATTTTTTCTAATAAAGAAATCTTAAACATTTTTTTGCTTTTGGGGATGGGAATTCTTTTATTAAACGGTTCTAAATTTGGCGACTTGTCAACATTTTGGCAATTTTAAGATCAGTTTCTAAAAAAAAAATTTTAATCCCAAGATCTGAGAATTTTTCGACGATTTTTTTAAAAACATCACAACATTGATAAATTTCAATAAAATAATGGTAATATATTAAAATTATATTAAAAATAACATTAAATAAAACATCCCTATTTTTCGCTGTCATATTATAAAGTTTCATTTTGGCAACTTATTATACAATATTATGAAACTGAAAAATAGGCATAATGCTGTAAACTAATTTACGAAACAGCTCCAAGAGCAAAATAGCTATGTATTAATTAAAAATGTCTTCTTTTTAATTTTTTTATAGTAAGCATTTTTCCCATCTCAGAATATTAAAAATTCTCAGAATATGCATCAGTTTCCTCTATAAAATTAACTCTACACTTTTTTCCCTCCTTTTTTTTTCCCAAAATATTTCTGCTTTTTTGCTGTTACAGAATTGGTTGGGATAATTTTTTTCTAGTATTTTAGACACTGCAGCTTGGAAATTTTAGAAGGATTTGAAGGCAAGATTTATAGACCCATGATTCTAGAAGATTCGAAATATGTGACAAAATGAAAAAGTCTATGGTATCAACCCATAATGGATGTATTTTACAGAAAGTTTGTGATGAATTTCTTACTTTTTGGAGGACGTCTGGAAGAACAACTGAAAACGTAATATTTATATGTTTTACTTCTGATACTAGAATCTTTTTCTTAACAAGTTTGTTTATCTTCTCTTTATTTTCTCTACTTTTTACTAGGCACAAGCATGGAAAATATCAAAAATGCTTCTAATCTTATCACATATACAGGCATTATAAAAAGGAATTTTTTTATTAATAAAGAAATTTAAAACTGATACTTTAAAAGATTCATATAATATGTTCTTAATGCATCATACACAGACCTGGCGCTAGGCATTTTCCCATCTGATGCAATCTTTGTAGATCCTAAATTCTGCTGCCTAGTGCCTTTCTAAATTCTGCTTCTGATGCCAGCTCTAAATTCTAAAAGTTTTGCTATTTCTAGATTTTGTTGTTCGGTGTATCACTAAGTTCTAAAAATTCTGCCACTTCAGCTTTGTAACCGGGCTTTACCATATGTATTTCATATTTCTTCTGAATGTTCATATTACTAAAGAAATAAAATTAGCCACTTCTTCTATACATTCTAAATGCATTTACAGTTTTTTAGAATAACAGAAATCCTTAGTTAGATCCAAAAATTCTAAAATGAAAAGGAAACGTGTTGAAGAAAGAAACCGAGTACATAAAGAAAATTACTCTTCAAAGATATGTGCAGTTGTTATTATGTAACTTACCTATTGTTTACGATTTCAGCCCTTCAGTTTATGATTCAGTCGAGGGTTTGGGACTATTTGACTTTTACCAGATCAAGTAAATCCTCATAGGTACCTTGTGGAGAGGTTGACAAGTTAGAAGATAAGCACGCAGAAACTAGCGAGAGCATTGGTTTGCATATTGAGACAAATCTCTAATTGTTAGAAAAGATGCTTAAAGAGAAGGAAATCAATATAAACTAACCAAAATGTTTGGGAAGGCTTCAAATTAAAATGAAGGATAAATATTTTGTTGAGTGTTGTTAAAAACAGAAATGTTTTGTTTCTTTTAATGTGTATCCTAATATCGTTTAAGAATTAATGTCATAAATTATATATATATATATATTTTAAACTGTGAAAATTTATTAGCTTTTGATTTTAATAGGCTTTTTTTTAACAAATATTGTTAAAAATAAAATTTAATAGTGGCCATGTAAATCCATTATGACCAAGGTTATCTAATTACCTAATTTAATTATTTATAACTAACTGCTTACCCTTAAAAATTATGTCTACATATTATTAAAGCGAGTTATTGCCTTCCATTAACACTCACTGTGGTCACGAGATAAAACACAAAAATGTAAAATTTCAAGTAAAACTTATTCTTTGCATCTAGTGAAACTTAAAAATAATACATAACAACTTATCATCTCTGGTACTTTAATTGCTTATTGGAACATTAAAATATATTAACTGGGCTACAACCCCTTGGAACTCTACACAAAGCTATTATGACACTAAGTGCATCAAACAGAGTCTGACTAAATTTCAACACTTTCCAACTGTGTCTACATTAGGCCTTTCATGTTTGTTCTAATGAGCAGGACTCTCTAATGAGCAGGAAATGTCTCTAGACAAGCAACAGCGGTGACAACCTTCAGTCTTTTGTTATGAGTCATGCTGATTATGATCTTACTTCTCATTTTAACCTATGCCTTTTGACATTAAATCTACCCGCTATTTACTAAACTTCTAGACTGACTAAGTATGTGACAAAATGAGACATAAAAAAAATCAACATAACGCTAACTATTAGTAAAACTTAAATGTCACTTATCTTCTTTCAAATGTGTCCAACTATTATAAGTGTAAAATAGTTAATGCTACTTGATAAATTTCATACAGTTTATTTTATTCTCAAACTTATTAATAATTATGTTAATTCATGTTTAGTAATAATGCATACAAAACCAACACCTCACCAAAGTACCTTTAGTACAAGACCAACACCTCACCGATTTTCATTTTGAGAGGCAGAAAATTTTCTGTCATTCTTTTTCTTCTTATTATTGTAGTATCGCAAGTATTTGTTTCAAGTCTAAAGAACTCATCTGCCAATGATGGAGACATGAAAAAACAATCAATATAACTGGTACCCTTGACCAGAAAGGTCTTCAAATAGAGATTTAATAACTCTTTTTCTGTATAATCCTGAAGTTTCTTTTGCCATATAAGCAGTAAAGTTGTAGCTATAATCTAGTTTTTAGATTTACTTAATTTGTTAATTTTTTTATGCTTTGACACTAATACTCAGAGGCATTTCACATACACAAATTCTTGATTAAAAAACAAAATATACAAACTTCTATAACATTTATCAATAAATACCTTGTGCACATAAAAAAAATATAAAAAGCAATGCTCTAGCAGGGCAGAGAACTGTCATAATTTTCACCTATAAATGCCAAGTATGCATTTAAAGGCCTGCGAGTCAAGAAGATGCTTTTTGTCTTATGTTTATATAATCAAAATCCAAATGCATGTCAGTTATCTTTGTATCATTTTGAATAGAAGGTCGTATCTACATGTATTTCAAATCCTATGGATATATAACATCCTTTTGGGCAAAAAATATCAGTTTCTAAAGCGTTCCCAAACTCTGACACCAGTGCATGATGAGTGGGAGTGAACGAGAAAACACTTTGTCATGCCAGGGTGCCACTTGGGCTGTATTTCATGCTGGTATGTCTGCATGACAGTCGGTATGAAAGGGTTAATATTGCTGTTTACCCATTATAGTAATAACTTAATATCTGCATCTTAAATACATATAATTGCAGATATTAAGTTGTATACTATAATAACTTAATGTTTGCATCTTAAATCAAAATTTACTTCAAGTGATCCTTCTAAGCTAACTTTATTTTCATTATCCCATAATATATCATGTTCTAAGCTTCTGAGAATGTGGATGATGCAGAATTTTATAACTAATAGAATGTTTAAAAAAAAAAAAAAAAAAAAAAAAACTCTCTATTTGCATTATATGGGAAAAAATTCACGGGGGGGGGGGGGGCTACTGCACAAATTTATAAGAAGCATATTGAATTTAAAAGTTTATTTAGGAATTGGGAAAACTTAGAATTTATAAAAAGGGAGAAAAAATATGGAGTTTTTAATAATTCCAGTATCACATATATCTTTTCTTTTATAAATTTATTATATAAAACACGCAATATTTTTATGTTAAAAAAGTGTATGCTTATTAAGAACACATGAAAAATAGTAAACTAATATTTGTGCATTTGCTGGGTATAAAATTATTTCTTGATGCTTAAGAGCAAGAAATATGATAAATTGTCAAATATGTTGTCTTTGTTAAACAAGTTAGAATCCAGGATGTAATATTTGGCATTTGGTGAACAGTCAATTTTCTCAGGTCTTTTTTTTAATTCTGTTGTGCAAATTTCCAAATATTTGAATATATTATGGACCTTTCATTTGAACTGTTAAGCACCCTGAGGAAGAAGCCGCTTTTTGGTCTTTCGTCAGAACTGAATATCCATTTATAACATTCCTGTGATGGTATTGCATTAACACCCAGACTTTCAAATAATAATTTCAATTTATTATGTTAAAATTTGACATATTTAGCTTTTTTTTTTTTTTTTTTTTTTTTGGCCCTACTTTATTTTTGTTGGAGTTACTAAATTAGCAGCTAATATCTCACTAGTATTGGTAGACTGTTTGCATATGGTCAATGGGCAAATATCAGTAGATGTTATAATATCCGTTTTTACGAAAAAGATCAGCTAATAAGAATGCTGGAAATTTTTTTCTTATTTGGCTGAATTTTTAAAAAAATTTCTTTTAGTAAAAATTTCATATGGCAAGTATTTGCGACTTCCTGATGCAAGTTTTTCTTCTGATGAGGAGGATGATAAAGATTATTTTTTGGAGCAAAGTGCTAAAAGACATTGGCATAATTTTGAACAAGCTGAGAAAGCCTTTCAGGCTGTTGGCAAAAGTGGAGTATCCCGTCAAGGAAATACCACAACAACCAAACACGATCCTACTGTCTGTGGAAGGAGAAATGCAGGAAAGCTTATGGAGGTAATTGAAAATATACTGAAAAAATTATTGATTGGCTATTGTAGCCATAAATAAGTAACTTCAGGTCTTAAAGATGTTACTTTGCTATGTGAATATTTAGAGGGAATTTCTGTTTTCCTCTGACTGCGCAAAAACTCGAGCTTTTGAAGTCATCAATTTAAAATAAAAATTAGGTACTTTTTTAATTGGAATTTTTTAAATATTTCTATTTAATACAAAAACAGTTGTTTAGTAATATACCATTGTCATTGTAATACATGCAAAAACAAAGTTTCCTTTAATGATAGTATATTGCTTAATATATTACTTCTTTATGAATTTCCTTAAGGATTAAATTAACAGGTGATGGAAGAAAGTTCATGCGGTTTTTGTTACTCATCAATAGCGGCCCATAAAATTTTTAAACACCCATTTTATTCTTCAAAATAATCATCATTGGCTTTAATTACATGTTTCAATGAGACACAAACTTATAAATGCCTTTATTGAAAAAATGCTTTTTTCTGGTATCCAAAAATCATTGCTGATGCAGAACTTCACAGCCCAGTGTTTTAATTCATCTCAGCTGTTATGGTTTTTCCACTTTCTAAATGTTCATAGTCTACTATGCCAGTGCTGATCCACCAGAGCCAATGAGACTGAACCAGAAATCAACCAATGATGTTTCCTCTTCTGGTTACCACACACAAATCCATTTTTCATCACATATCAACATTTGGTCCAAGAACAAGGCTTTATTATGGCATGACAGCAATGACAAGCAGGTGTTCAAATGTTGGCGCTTGTTTCCCTTGGACAGTACATAAGGAGTCCACTTGCTTAGTTTCTGTGTCATCCCAACGTTATAAAAATGTAATCAAATGGTTTTGTCAGATACTTTAAATCTGTGGTCATGCTCCTGTAGGTTAGGTTTGATGAGGATTCTGCTTGATTCCCTCTTCCATCTGGACTTTTTCAAGGGTGAATGGATGAGCAACAAGAGGCTTGTCTTCAAGGCTCTTGTCTTTGGAGGAAAATTGGCTGAACCACTTTTGAACAGTCCATTCACTTGCATATCTCTAAATTCTTCTTATGACTTCTACAGCTTTGTTTCCTAATTTGCTCTTGTAGAGGAAAATAGGCATGGAAATTTCCTTTTCCAATGACATGTTCTTTTGGAAATTATATTTCTTACAAAACTGATAGTGAAACATGCAATGCCCTGAAAAACTCTCTATTGAATAAAGTTTGAAAGGAATGAAAACATGTGGCACCATCAAAATCAATTTGACCACACAAATGTGCCAAAAGTAATTGTTCTCAAGAACATTGTGAACTTTCTTGGTTACCTGATAGTTCATAAAAGCAAGGTATTTATGTATTGACTTTTATTTGAGCTCTGATCTATTTTTGAGCTAATTAAAATGGCAGCTTTCCCATTTTGTAATAAATGTGCATTTTTTTAAAAAATGAGTTTCTAATAAATATGATTTAGTATTTTTAATGAACAATTGTTAAGAAATATTTTTAAAGTAAGTATATTTATTATAAGAAAGAAAATAATATCTGTGAATTATGTACAAGAGTGAATAAATGTCAGATACTTGAAATTACTTCTGAAGTTTCATAATTTTTTTTATGTGTGCATTATATTAATTTTCTAGGAATTTTAACCACAAATTTAATAATATTGCATTAAAATAAATTTCTAATAGACACTATAAAGTTTTGAAGTCTGATAGGTCCAGTTCTGTTTAAAATATACTTAAAAAATTTCATTTCGTTATAGTTTCCACCTGGCATATTAACGGGTGATGGAGGCATGTTTGATATGAAGATTTCTAACAATGTGTATAACAGTCTGAAAATATACTCTATGGCTGAGGATAAGAGAGGCCACAAGGTTCATGATAAGAAAGAAAAATCAACTGCTGTGAGTTTATTTTTTGATTTACTACATATTCATTTGTCTGAGTTTTATAGGATAATAAATTTTAAACTTTTTTTTTTTTTAAATTAAAATAAATTTTTACGTTTCATATTTTTTTAGGCAGTGTACAAAACTATTTAGTTGAAAGTTGTTTGTTATTTTAGATTTTATATTGAACATACATGTTATCACAAGAACTAATGATTGGTTGCGTATTTAATTCTTTTATGATATAATGGTAATATTATATGAAATATGTCTAAGATAGCTGTGATTTTAGAATATTGTGTAGCACTGACAATTTTTTGTATTATTTTTGAAAGAAAAAAAATGGGAATTCTAACTTCTAAAGTTTTATATTTTATAAATTATTTTGTTGATTAATTTATGTTATAAATAATTAGAAAATCTGGGAGATTCTTATTCGGGGGGGGATCATTGTTCTGAAGTATTTTAGTTTTTAAAAAAATGAAGATGTGAGTACTACTCTTATCCTAATTAGAAATATTTACTGGTAAGATACTTAAAGAAGAATTGATTTATGTGTTTTACTTTCAAAATGATTTTTTTTGTGTGTGTTTTTTATTTATTTAAAATTTACTTCTTTAAGTAATTTCTGAACAGTATTTTATATAATTTCTAAATGTGATATACTATCTTTAATGTTTACAGATAAATTACTATTCACTTATGTGTCAAGAAAAATTATTATTCACATGATATTAAAAATCATAACTTTCATGTACAAACTCCTTGGATGAAAAAATTATTGTTTGGATATAACTAATAAAAAGTTCATGATTTTAATATACAAAAATCATTCTGTCTTACAAATAATCAAAACTGGTTAAAAACGGAAAATGCCCACAAGACAGAAATAGAACAACAGAAATTTAATGAATTTAATAAATATTTAAGTTCTTAATTATAAAATGTTTTGCTTTCTGTGGTGCCAATTTAAACATTGCTAATATTTGAAAAATGTAGTGTTGTTTATGAATTAGAACTATTGTTTACTCTTTTCCTTAGTGGAGATAAATCTTATAAATTATAACAGCCAAGTATGAAAGTCAGACAAAAATGGTTAAACCAAGAAGCTGTTAAATGGTTAGGTTACTTGAATATGCCAAAGCACACAAGGTCTATGTACTTAAAGGGAGGGATGCCTCTGTGGGGGACTTTCTACAGAAATCTGGCTCATATTCACATTATGCATGGGAAATCAGTGAAAACCTTCCATGTCACCAGCCTGTTTGCATGGGCTCGAACCTAAGTGAAACTACAGTCAAAAGTCGTTAATTTGGACACCCATAATCCGGAATGATCTATAATCCGGACCTCAAAGCTACAACCTTTCTGCGCATGCGTCGCGTTGACGCATGCGCGTAAGACCTTTACCGCTGCGAATTTGCGCGTGCGCAAAATACGTTTACGAATGCGCGTTTAATGTATAACAGACGGGATAAGCTAAGCTAAAATTATCTAATTATCTATTTCAGTTATGTTGCAGATTGCGTGTTCCTTAATCTTCGAATTGGATCCGGCTTATATTTTTTTGCAGACTGTTTAGAGCAATTTTATAAAAGTAAGCTTTAACTTTGGATTATGTCAAATAGAATTTCGATATATATTTACTAATAGTAAAGGATATCCGAAAGTATCTTTCGGAGTCCCATTACACAAAAAGTGAATTGCTGCAAAAAATGGATAAAGGCATATATTTTGTTATCTAACTTTAACGCTCAAACTTTAACGTTTGTTATCTTTAACCTTAAAACAGCGTGCAATGAAATTCACTATCCTTATCTTTAAGGGCAGATGTTTTTATTTTATTTGGTTATAATTGCTTACTCTATGTAGTATTTCATCTCGATGTACTCCATCTTTGATATGATTAAATCAAATGGCCTCGTCATTATAATTCGCTTCCGATAGCGAAGAAAGTGACAGAGGGTTATTGAAAACGAAAAAATTCGATTGACAAATTAGTCGTTATTCTCGACCACAGCAATTATAGGACGTGAACAGCGGAACTTTGTAACTGAACAAGAAATTATGTCTGTTTATTTATAGAATTAAAGAGAATGTATTATCACATAAAAAACGAATCAACTTAAACAACTACATTTGAAAAGAAATTTAATAAAGTAAACAAATAAATATTAAGCTTTTTTTTTTTTTTTTTTTGTAAATTTTGATACCCTTTAGATCATAATTGTTCTTTATTTCGTAAATTACGGTTTTATATTTTTAATTTTATAATTTCTGCATGCCATTTTACCAGATTTAAACTGATGATCTATAATCCGGAAAAATCGATTAACCGGAATCGCCGAAGTCCCGACGAGTCCGGATTAACGACTTTTGACTGTACCTGTATTCAGCAGTCTTTAATCACAGAAACTATTAGAATTGTTACATTTTGATGTCTAATGACCTTACAACCATTATAGGATATTTAAGTCATATAAGAGTTGTAAACATGTAAGGCAATGTATCCAATGCATACAAATGAATTTGAATATGGTAAACGGCATAGTATTAATTATATCTCATTCACAATTTTGCATATTTCAGGAAAATATCACTATCCCTTGAAAAAAATTTCGCACTGAAAGTTTTAAAATTTACTTCTTAAACAAAATGACTGGCTGAATTTCTTAAAAATCCAGAAACAAGTGACATTTTCCTCTATAAAGTGTACATGCCAGGAGAATTACTTTGGAAAGAGAACAGCATTTCTCAGAACATGAAGAAACATCAGTTTTAAAATTATATTATCTCTACCATTGAGTCACCCTAACCCAGGTGAAATTATCAAATATGTATCGAAATAATCACTAAAATGTCAGCTTTTGCTATTAAATTAAAATATTTCATGTATTAACATATCAAGGAGTTGAATTTCTAATTTTTAATACACCAACAAAACTATTCTTATAGAAAATAAGTTACAAACCAATTCTGGCTTATTAATTTAATTATTTCTGCATTATTAATTTTTTTTCTTCTTGGCATAGTATAAATTTTCATACAAGTTCGATTCTGAAAACAATACAGTGTTCTTTAAATGATAAATCACATTCTTTCCCGGAGAAGGCATGGATGTTTGTAGATGTATAGTGTCGGTGTGGCATGGCAGCACTCTAAATATGCGGCAAACCAAAAGTCCTTTCGTGTGGTTTGTGGAAGGGAAGAGGAGTGGGAGACCCTGAGACCATTTCCCGGGGGGCTCTCCATCAAAATTGGGGGCTGAACTGAGCCAAATCGCACTGTCATCTGTGAAGTGCTCAAGGCTGTTGCCAGTGATAGGCGTATCTTGCACTTCTTGCCACAAGGGTTTTTGTGGGCTTGACCTGATGGTACTGTCAGAGAAGTGAGCATAAGCAACAACAACAGAAAAAGAAATCATTAATCAAAGCAAAAAATTCAGCAGGCTGACTTCATTGGGTATTTTAATAGTCAGTAAGTGTTTCTGTAATTACTAAATTAAATTTATTAGTAAGATTACTTATGTCCTAGACATGCATATAATCTTGGTACTTGAATATTAGCGCAACCACTTTTGTTTTAGGGGCAGTTTGGCAATGCTTTATAGAAAAACAAAACGAATCATTACTTCTCATGAAGAATTCAAAGCAGTTGTTTTTCTAACAATTTGAGTCAAACTACAGTAATACAGCAAAAATTATACTCCAGTTTCTTCCACTACAGATAAATTCTACAAGCACATGTTTGAAACAAAAAACATCATGCTTCATTTTTAAAAACTGTTGTATCTTGGAATACAACAAAAAGAACTCGTACAAAATTGGAGAAGTTGCTTGTTAAAACTAAAGAACTGTTATGTACAGGGTTACCACAGTTTGTAAAAACTTATTATTTTATTATTAATAATATGAGTTATATTAGTAAAGATATGGCAGCTTCTATTGGCATTAATTTATGTATTTTTTCTTCATATTTAAAAATTTGTGTTCTGTATTTTAAATATTATTTATTTAGTTCAAAAAGTAAAATATAAATTCCCTCTCCTCAAGTCTACCCACCCCTGTATATATAACAAATCTACTTAATTATTCTCTTTAACAGATTCCAACAACCTTCAGCCGTTAAATCTAATATGTAAAGGAATAACTGCTAATGCCAATCATCATCTCTAAGAGGACCCTAATGTCTCTTCATAGGATGAGAATTATTGGAAACCTCAATGTTAATCTTACAAAGAATAGTATAAAAGAATTCTATAATTTCAAGTTTGTGTAGCTTTAAAAATTAACAAAATAGAACGATAAATATTATATGAATGTCAAGGAAAAATGTTGCAAGTTTTAGTGTATAACTAATAAATGGTATTAGTCATTTAAAAGATTCTTTTTGAGAAAAAGTTCAAGGGAAAATTGATACTAAATAATAGTAAACTTTTGCATATTGGGGTTCTCACAGTGTAAGTTGGAATATATGATTTAGTTTCAAATGTCTGACCTCCTAGGTCTTCAGGTGTTATAGTTTGCAATTTCTTCCTTTGGAGATATTTGAAAGATCAGATATTTGTGCCACCAAAGCCTACAAGCCTCAACAAACTTAGAAAGCGTGTATTTGCTGCTTAGAAATAATTATCATCGACATACTAGGATTTATTTGGCAGAATGTTCACATTGCCTGGACATGTAACTAAACGAAACATTTTCCCTTCACATTCATGTATTACTTATTGTTAATTTTTAAAATCGACAAAATTTGAAATTGTAACCCCCCTTCCGCAAATTACTCTGTTTTAAAATGTACGTTTTCTTAATATTGCCCATTTTAAAATTAATAGTAATTTCTTTTGCAAAATATTATTCATATTCCCTTTTCAGGAAAAAGCTTTGGATGAAAAGACTCATTTAATTTTGTACAAGTTAGTTAATAATCAAACATTAGAGTCTTTGAATGGCTGCTTTAGCACTGGAAAAGAATCCTGTGTTTATCATGCTTGGAGTGCATTGTAAGTATCATCTGTGTGTTTTTAATTAGTAGTATTGAGTTATTCTTTTATACAAATTTAGAATTATCTGGATTTCTTTTGTAATGATAATTTAAAGTTATATAAAACTGAATTGCCAATTTGAAGATTATAGAAAATTAAAAGTTTTTTTTTTTTTTTTGGTTTGGTGTATGTGTGTGAAAAGAAGGTAATAATTGTAACTTTGTAATAGTTTGTAATAATTGTAACATTTAGAACATATTGTTTGCTAAAGCTTTCATATCTTATTATTTTGCATTCAATTCTTTGAATGGCCAAAGTTCTAACTGGATCTTGACTGTTTTTGTATTGTTAAGAAACTTCTCTACTTAAATCTGCTGAATAAATTTAAAATGTAAAATAACATTTAATTACTCTAATATTAAGGGATTCCCATTACTGGAAAATATTTTAAATTATTTCTAAGCTGTTTCTTGGGATTTTCTGGTAAACTTTACAGCAGAAAAAAACCAGTCTTGTGTGTTTTATGATCATTTAACATAGGCCAAAAAAAATCCATTCCAAAACATTATCTATTTTTGATTAGTTTATGTTGAGTATTTTTATCTTAGTAAGTGTAAACATCTTATTTAATTTCTGTGACTTGAATTCACAGTAATGGAAAAAGAAAAATCATTTACAAAGAGTTGCTACTCTCAACTCAGTTTTAAAATTCAGACCTTAATGCATTTCAAACATATTTGCTCTTATCCTGAAACAGTAGTAAATTTTAAAATAAGTAAATATATTTTTTTCTGTAAAATATTGATCTTGGTTTTATTGGATTCATTCTTAAACTCTGAAAAGTAATTAATTTAACACCGTAAAAACACAAGAGAATGAAATTTCGTATTAATTACTTAACTAGCAACTTTTAACTCATAAACTAAAGATTTAATTTTAGATTTCTTATCTACTAATTTTTAATTCTATCCATTAAATAATATAATCATTTAACCAATTTTAGCATGCTGATTCATATCAAACAAAATAAACATTTGGTCCCCCCTCCCGAAAATTAAGATGTTTACATTACTTAATGAACAGAAGACAGTACATAGTTAGTTGGGGTATATCATATCTGATTAACATTTGAAATGTCATACAAATGTTAACACATTTGTTTCTTATTTGATTTGATTATCATGATTTTACTACTAGATGCAATAAGTGTATATTAGCTTAAATTATTATGCTGAATTTAATTTTAGATTATTACTGATTTTAAATTAAAAATTGAATCCATTTCAAGATGCATTTTAATACGAGTTTTTCATCATCGGGAATAGTAATAATATTGAATTCCCCCCTTTGATTAATCAGTAATGTGTTATCAGTAAGTTAGTTGCATTTTACTTGATTTTAACTTAATATAAGCATGTAATCTCGTTTTACAGTCCATAAATAAAGTAATGATATCATGAGTGATAGTTAAGTTTAGATATGTATTACTGTATGTGCATGTCAGAGTTTTAAGAGGGAGGCTGTTTGTAATATTTTATTAGATTTGTGTTTTATTAACTTTCATAGTAAAATCTATCAATGTATGTTCACATCATAGTTATTTAAATACATATAACTTGCCATAAAATTCCACTTTAACAAGAGTAATTTTAATAATTTTTTCCAATATTGTTTTGTTAATTTACTTTTCTGTTGTAGACCAGAAGAAGAATCACCATCTCCAGAATTTGCCATTAAAGTATTCAAAACAACCTTGAATGAATTTCAAAATAGGGACCAGTACATCAAGGATGATTATCGTTTTAAAAATCGTTTTGGGAAACAAAATCCCAGGAAAATCATTCACATGTGGGCTGAAAAGGAAATGAGAAATTTGTTGAGGTGGGTGACGTATGATATGCATCAAGGAAGAGTAAAATAGCTTGTTTTTTTTTTTTTTTTTTTTTTTATTATTATTATTATTATTATTATTATTTTTTATTTTTTATTTCTGTATATTTAGATAGTATATCTTTTTAACAAAATAGGCAATTTTTTATAAATGAATAGTGGACATATATATATATGTGTGTGTGTGTGTGTGTGTGTATATATATATATATATATATATATATATATATATACAGAGAAAGAGTGAAATTTTAGGAAATTTAAAAGAGGGAAAATTATTTAATAATGCATTTTGAATTGCTTTTATGTTATTCATTTCTGAAGAAAAGTCATGTTTAGCAAACTGTATGCATGAGAAAAAAAGAAAAAAGGCAACAAAATATCTTTTCTCATGTTGCCCTTCTTCAATAAGACTTAAATTTTTCTAAGAGTGTAGCAGAAAGAATTTTTAGAAAGACTTAACATGGAATATCTTTCCTGAGTTCCATGAATATACATGTGGGCTTTCCAGTTTGAATTGCCAATAAATAAGCAAACCACAAACATTAAAAAACCACAAACCTGATACTTCAATTGGGAAAAAAAGACTATCATAAGTTTTATTTCTGGCTGATGAAATCTACATCGGACATTATGAAATCTACACTGGACCTGTAAATTATTTATTAGACTGTGAAAAAAAAAAGAGAGAGATTTGCTATTCTGCTTATCAAGATCTTTATATGATTTATCTAAAATATTCAGTTTTGTACTTACGTACTAGCACAGCCCTCTAACCGCAATTTTTTTTACAGAAGAAAAGGTAATTTGGTGAATTTTTAGATTGCAACATACAATGGATATGGTTACCTGAAGAATTGTTATGTGCATGGTTGCCAATGTTTGTGGAATTTTGAAGATTTAGCAACATTTATTAAAGTGGTTGTGATAACATGCAAGTACCTTCAGTTCCTTAAGAGATTTCATATTATTAAAAGAAAATAATAGATAACACATCTGTGGTCTGACATGTTGATCAAACAATTTGACATGATACTTTTGAGCATTATGTGTTCAATGAGTAAATATTTGGAGATTTGCTGTGTGACCATTCAAAGATATCTCGTCAAAAATTATTATTCCAGAATGCTGGGTTGACTGATTTTATCTAGTTCTTTATTCTTGCCAGATAACATGACAAATCCAAATGATCTAATTTCAAAAATGGATCCAAATGGAAAGTGATCATTGCCATATATATGGAAAGTCATAATTAGAGGTTGTATTACTGGTTTTATTGCTATTAGTAGTTTTTCTTTTTAAGAATTACATTTCATTATTATCAGAAATAAGTACTTATCACATCAGTAAAAAAGTCACATAATTGACTAATGTGAAAAAATGATTTGTTTAATGTTGAGAAAAAAACAAAATGAAGTACAGTCCTGTACAAATTATTATAGATTCTGATAGACTCATTGTTAAAGTATATATTGGCACGATTAAAAGTGATTCATTTATTACACATTAACTGCACTAATGATATTTTCAAACAAAAGGCTTACAGTTAATTATATTTTACCAATGTTGATACATTGCAGTATTTAATATAAAGCTGTTTGATGTGATGCTTAGATTTTTTGGACATTCCTTCTATAAAGACTTTGCATTGCTGCTGCAAATCTTTGTCAGAATCCGATATTCTCTGGGCACTCTAATTTTTTTTATTCATCTGTGTTATCGCTTCTTCATGGATTTTATACCTGATAATATTGTATTATTTCTTCAATGGGTTTCATATTGAGATTATTTCCAAACTAAGCTAGCACTTCAGGGGGGGAGGATATTCAAGAATCTGGATAAATGGCAAGGGATATTGTCTTGTTGAAAAATTGTACTTCCTTTGCATAATCATTAAAGATGGAGTTAGCTTCACCCTAGTTTAAATCATCTTCTTATGTTAAGTATCTGGATTATCAAGAAAAATCAGCCTATTGGAAAAAAGAACATCAAGAAATCAAGCATGTTTCTCAATTAGGAAGCAATAGTGTAAAAGGCTTTGAAATTTTTTTTTTTGTAAGTAAAACTAGTTTGAATATGAATAATAATAAAATTTTGAAAATTCCATGGCATAAGTTTGGACTCAATTATTTGTTTATCATAGAAAGTATCAGATAATTTTTTATATGTGATCTGCCAGCTTTTAATCCAGCTTTCAGAAGGCAGCTCTTTATAAAACTGATGCTGATTGATGCATCATGATCTTTGCACATCCATTTTAGTTGTTTGAATGATCTATGATTTTTCACACTCATTTTTATGTTTGGTGTCTTTTAGTTTAGTTAAATATTTCATAAAGAAAACTTAACAGATTTGGAAATGGATTTTTATTTTCTGCAAACTCACAATTATTTATTATGCAATAAATATATTAAAATTGCCAAATGTTGTACATTTCCCTTTTAATATTACTTCAAAATCTGTTTTTCCCTGAAGGAAAATTAATATTTTTCTAAAATGTAACACTGAAATATATTATTTTTTGAATAATTGTAGTATTCTTAGTATTCTATTATGCTATGAGCTTGTTTTATATATATATATATATATATTATGTTTACAGTGTTCACAAGTGGAAGCGGGGGAAACTTTATATGAAACTTTGCTTAAAGTTTTTTTTGCTTGTACAACATATTAAATAACATTTCTAAAATCATTTTTTTTTCTCATGTTACAGTTAGTATGATAATCTGGTATTGGCAAATTGCAAGAATGCAAAATTATCACACTTTGTCTGTGTGCCTACAAAAGTGTATAAAGCACTGTGAATTTGTGTAACATATGCATTGTGTATTTTAACATATGCACTGCGAATTTATGTAATATATGCACATTGAACATATGTACTGTGTTTTCATGAAATTTAAATGACTGAAATAAAAATCAAATTCTGAATTTTATTTCTTACACTATCATGGGCATAGCTGGGATTCGAAAGGAGGGTGCAAATGATTTTAAACCGATAGAATGAAACTGAGCTGTTACTCGTTCATCAGTGGTTGAGTGGTTAAGTCTGTTAAGAGCCAATAATTAGGTTTAAGAGTGAATTGGTTGGCTGCATGAGTATTTTTTGTGATTTTTTGGGTTATAATGTAAATATGAGGTAGTTTTCCTCTAAAAATTGTAACCTTCTTTTACATTTGCTTTCTCTTATGTAGATATCCATTACATGCTTTGGGGCAGTCGAATAAACAAGCAAATAAATAATGGATTAAAATACACAAGTTTAAGCAGATTATTGAAAACTATGTAATAGGAATAAAAAGACCGCTAAACGTTTTTTACTTAGTCTTTAATTTAGAGTGCAATGATTTTTCTTCTATCTGGACTAAATTTTTTTAATACTACCTTTTCTATTCATCTTTATTTAAGAAGCTTTCGATGCACCATTAACATGCTCAACTCAGGGATTCTGTGTCATTGTAATATGTATTGAAGTTTTTACTCTGCACAGTGTACTAAATGAGTGCTCAATACTACACGTAGTACAAGGTTGAGACAAAGATATAAGATTAAAATCCTTCATTTGGAGGGGGGGAGTCATCACGTCTTTTACCAAAAAATATAAAGATTAACATGTTTCATTTGTGTGTGGAGGGGGGGAAGTCATCGCTTCTTTTACCAAGTATTGCATTGTTAACTCCTTCATATTGTGTATTGTTAATTTCTCTTTTCCAGAAATTGTACTCCAGATTATAAAAATTACAAAAGCTGTGCACAATTTTTATAAACTTTTCCACTGTCATCTCTAACATAGCCACATGATGCAATAACTATAAAAAAAGTGTTGGAGAATCATTCCATTGTGATAATATTAAAGAATCAAGAAAGTTTCCAAAACTTTTCTTCCAAGGAGAGATGTTTTCCAAAACTTGTTAGTCGTAAATTTTAGAGGATATGAGCAATGTTATTGCACTTTTAGAATCTTATATAACTGTAATTCAGTGCCAATGTTTTCAGCCATAGTATTTGTAAAAGACTAATGTAAAAACTAATTAAGGAATAACATATGAATTAATGAATTTCCTGGCATAAAACATTTGCCACTTTATGATATTCTTTCAGGAACATTAAAATTCTTATTTATGTGATCCACACATTGTAGTGTATCTAGATTTTTGGATCATAAAGTATTAGCCAGAGGCTGTAGCAGAGCCAAATACTGCACAGTTAATCCTATGCACACAATAAATTCAGATTTTGTCTCAGCACAGTTTAACTATAAAGCTGCTTTCCTCACAGAAGTATTACTTTCTTTTGACAACTTTTCTGCCTTTGATAACCCCCTCCTACTGACCCAATTTTCTTGAAATTTTCGGTTCGTAGTTGTTACTTTGCATGACTGGCTGTGAGAATCTTTGGGGTTGGGAAAGATTAATACTGCTGAAGAAAACTCATTAGTTTTCCAGTTGGAAGGGGAAGCAACTTAAAGAATGATAAGAAACAGGACAAAACTTTCTTCAATTTCAATTGGTTTAAATAAAAAATGATTAAAAAATTACATTCAGTTAGGAGAGGTGCAAGTGCATCTTCCTGCAATAAAAAATAAGTCTTATTAGAACTTTTTGTTAATTTTTATTTTCTGCTGAAGTTTTCTTTAAGTAAGTTTACAGAATTGTATGTTTAACATAAAACTTACTACAGGTTCAAGCAAACTGTTATTAATCGTATCTTCCATATTGGTTAAATTTTAAATATTTAGTTTATTTTTTAAGTTTTAAATAGTTAGGCATTCTTATAGTTAAGTTTTAAATTAGTCATTATTGTAGTTAAGTTTTAAAATAAAATATATGGACATTTATGATTGATATGTAAACAGTTAGCATAATTATACATAAATAAATGAAAACTGTAGGGTTCAACCGAACAACTAAGAAATGAAAAAATGTTTCTGTTTTTGAGAAACTTTTCTCTCAGAAAGAGGTTTAATCTTGTCTGTTTTTTGCACAACAATCCTTATTATTAGTAATCTGATTTTTGTTTTAAATACTCATAAAATACTTTGCTGCAATAATAATTTATTTATACAGTTGTAACATTATAATTTATCTCAAATAAATGAATTATCAAATAAAATGATTTAAAAAAAAATTCACGTAGTATTATTAAAAGATGGTCTTCTTCAAGTATTAAGGAGTAATTGTATTTCAGCAAAATTCACATGCAGAATACGAAGAATGTTTCTTAAAAGGTGAGTAAAAAATAAATAAATAAATAGTAAAATAATAATCAGTCAAAAGATTATGACCATCCTTACTCGCATTACTGCTCCTAACTGGCAATGGCAAAATTTGGTAATTTTGAAGTTCTAGTACTGAATGTCTGTTATGTGTGGGATAGGCTGCTGTGAGTGGCATGCCATTTAGCCAAGTTTAACTGGGCTGCGGGATAGGCTTTTTTGTATGAAAGCTTATATATGGGATGTCAGCTTTTCGTAACAGCAGTCTTGCAGTCACTAGAATACTGTCATGTCAAGTTAATTTATGTTGTTGCAGGAAAACCAGAAAGTCTTAAAAATGTGAACAACTTTGGTACTAATTTTTTTGGTGCTAAATCATTGGTTTTGGATCGACTGTATGTATAAGGTTAATATTGAAACTAAGCTATAAGCATCTTGCCTGTTTCCAATCATCAACAGTTTTGCTTTTAATTGTCCAGATTTATAATCTGACAAGAATCAGTGTTATCTTTGAAGTAGTATTTGAGAAATAAAGTATCTGTGAATCAGCTTATCAGCTGTCTTTTTCGGTGCTGAAACTGTAATTTTCCCCCTTACCATTAAATAAATGATACATATCAGTTGCATCTTTTTTTTTAAAGGTGCAACTGATATGTATCATTCATATGTATCAACATAACTCTATTTTATGTTTGTTTCTAAAATTGTGTAAATAAATTTTTTTTCTTGTCTTTTGGATGACAGTTTAGTTTATTAGTGCATTAAATTTATGTTTCTTAAATTTAACTTTTTTACTCTGAATTTAAGAAGTTTAATGCAAGCTTAAAAAGTTTTTTAAACATTATAATAATAATTTCAGGATGAAAGAGGCAAATATACCTTGTCCTGATGTTGTGACTTTAAAAAAACACGTTTTAGTGATGTCTTTTATTGGGAAAGAAATGATACCTGCTCCAAAACTGAAGGATGTAGATTTACCATTTGAAGATATGACTATTATGTATGAGCAAACTTTAAATGTAAGCATATTTATATTTTTTATTATTATTGTGATGAAAGGAGAATGTTGGTATTCATTTCAAACTTCAAAATTAGTGCTTAATTAAAATTTTTCTTTTCAACTATTTAAAAATATACAATAGTTGGTACATATGATGTACTGTGCAATAGTATTTAAAGTTGATGATTTATGCCAAGCATTTAAAAATTTTGTAATTAACAATTATAAATTCAATTCAAAATCTGTTTGTAAAAAGCAATTTTATTTGACTAAATTTCCACATTTTGAATATCTGTAAAAATCGTACTAACTAAAATTGTAAAAACCAGCTTGGGCTGGACAACTGGTATTAATAATAATATATTAATTCTTACAGAAAATATGTAACATATATAAAAGAAGATAACCCATTGAACCAATAGATGATTGAAAAATAGTCCAGCATCTTTAGTCAAAATTCAGTTCCTTTCATGGCATGAAGAAAAATATTGCAGCATAATTTTATATAAATATAGATAGCAAAAAGACAGTATGCATTTCTAACAGTTCAGACTTTTTTTTTTTTCTTAGTGCTATATAAAATGGAACTATGCCTATATAATGCAAACATTAGTGAAAAATTCTGGTAGTACTAAATAATAAATCTGTTTGTTACATCTGAACAAGGGTTCTGAAAGGCTTTTTGTTTTTCTGAATTCAAAATAAAATGATGCTGTGTTCGTAATTGGAGTGAAAGCCCTATATTTGGACCTCAAACTTAAAAAATATAATCTTAAGTGGATCAAAGTAAGTATAATCTGTAATCTAAAACACATGTTATCCGGTTACCAATAAATGTTTGTAATTTATAGCTTTGCATAAAATAAAATAAAAGCCATATAAGGAGTTTGAATGAACTCTCAGTAGACAATATTTTTCTGGTTTTAATAATTCAGTATTCATATATTTCTGGGGTATATGTTTATCTATATTTAATGAATGTGTTTCTTTTAGATTATGAAAGACCTGTACTCAAAATGCAAGTTAGTGCATGCTGATCTGAGTGAATACAATCTTTTGTGGCATGATGATAAAACATGGGTTATAGATGTTAGCCAAGCAGTTGAAATTACTCATCCTAGAGCTTTGGAATTTTTGTTAAGAGATTGCACAAATATATCAACAGTAAGTCCTACATATTTTTTTCATCACTACAACCAGCATACATATATGAGGATTACTAGCTCAAACTGTTTTAACAAAGTCTTTCAGCGTCACCTCTCAGTGCTTCTGAAAGTAATGTACACGAATCTGCTCATTTAAAGATACAAAACTTTAAAAAAAGGGGGGGGATAATCCAATGTTATTTTGCTATTTTTGAAAACTACAAAATACTGTTATAAGCTCACAGAGTATCAGTTTTCAAGATAAAAGTGTAGAATAATGAATATTTAATATGTCGAATCATAATTTGCATGTATCTCCTTATTTATAAGTTTCATTCATTCATTTACATTATATTTATTAATTATGGTTTGAAGAGTAATTTCATCATGGTATGAACTTCCATGATGAAATAGGTGCGTCACAATAAAATGGTTACCCCTTCTGGTCTTAAGAGTGACAAGTGCTGATTAGGCAAGTGCCTGCCATTGGATTTTCTTTTTTTTTTTTTAAAAGAATAATAAGGTGTTCTGGAAACATCAAATAAACCAGCAAAGTCGCAATTTTTTTCTCGATTATTGTAAATGCTAAATTATTTTTTTTAGTGCTGCTCTGATTAAAATTTGTATTTAAAAAATATCACTAAGTAATCGTTCTCGCAAATCCAAACCATAACATTGAATTGCTTTTTGAGATTTTCAAATGAGTTTTTGGGCTCAATAGAGATTTGCCTAGACTCCTGGGATGCCAAAAGAACAAAGAAAAGTTTTTCTAACAATGTAAAATTCTTTTATCACTAGATAAAACTTAACAATTGCATCATGCTAAATGGTGATTTTTTAAATTTGAAGACATATTTCAGGACACCAGACATTATATTTATCTGTTGGTTTGGGGTTTGTTGCATAGTCGGAAACACAGCAACTGATCCCTACTTTGCACTTTTGACGTGCCTCTCCCGGGCTCGTTCTTAAAAGCTGAGCTCGAGAGAGAATTGCTAAACGTTGACAACATCTGTAGGAGGCAGAGACCACCAACAGAAGAGTTCACAGATTTTTTCCAAAAGTCTGCCTGCTTCTAAAAAGTGGCTTGCCTCACTTCACTCAGTTTCTAACAGGGCATGGTCCCTTCATGACTTACCTGCACCACTTCAAACGACGCGAAAATGACCATTGCTCATGGGAATGGCAGGAGATTTGGACGACTATCTGCTTGAAAAGGTGTCTGCCGATAACATTGTGGCAAAATCACCACGGGCGAAAACGTCGCGGAGAAAACAACACAAGGTGAAAATGTCGTGCTACAGAACATCGCAAAGAGAAAACATCGCAGTTCTAAAGCATCGTGGTACAAAACATTGTCGTCGAAAATAAAGCGGTTCAAAAACTTCGCAGTTAAAAAAATTCGTCGTCGAAAATATTGCGGTAAAAAATAAAGTATCGACAAATCATCGCAGGACGATAACGTCGCAGACATGCTTATTTCAGGCTTTAATAATGGTAAATGGATATTCCAATAATGATTTGTGAGTGCGAGATGGAAAGAAAGATAATTTTTACTTTCATATTTTTTATTAACTAATAAATTTTTGCTGAAAAAGTAAGAAGGAAACTTAATACTTAAGAATAAATTGAAGCAGAACAAGAAATAATTTTCATTATAAGAGTATTAGATTGACACAAGTGAAGAAAATAATCTCATAATTAGCAATTTTTTACAGATAATGTCATGCAGTTACGTAGCTTCCTTTTTCTAAACATTTTTAGATTATACTTTTAATGAAAAATTACTAGTAAAAACTTTATAAAAAATGATTTATTACTGACCTTTGTTAGTTAACTATGTAAGTTTAAAATTCTATTAAGTGCTATAAGTTGCCTTAATTTTCTATGCTTAAATTTCCTTCTTACTTTTTCAACAAAAATTTATTAGTTAATAAAAAATATGAAAGTAAAGATTATCCTTCTTTCCATCTTGCACTCAGAAATCATTATGGAAATATCCATTTACAATTATTAAAGCCTGAAAAAAAGCATGTCTGTGATGTTATCCTCATGCGATGATTTGTAGATACTTTATTTTTTACCACGATATTTTCGACGACGATGTTTTTAAACTGTGAAATTTTTGAACCGCTTTATATTGGACGACGATATTTTATAGTTTTGATGTTTTAGAACTGCAATGTTTTCTTCCACGATGTTTTGCATCACGACATTTTCGCCTTGCGTTGTTTTCAGCTGTAACCGCTTGAAAAGAGATTGCTGAACATCATCTTAGGCTATTGGTTAATAGTGGACTGCATTCATGTATGGGCTGAAGCTACTTCAAAAAATCGCTATGCATTGAAATGTATATGCCATTGCGTAAATATTGCACGCAAAATCTCAGACAGGCTGGAGTAATTCTCAGCTGCGATCCTCGTCCCCGTCACAGCCCCCGTATGCTCTGTACCTGTAATGAATTTATTTTATCTCAAGTTAGCTTTTTCTTTCTCCTCCCCCTGTTTATACTTATCTTTATGAACTGTAAACCTGAATTCTGAACCATGAATTATGTATTTTGCCTTATTTTATGTATTATTTTCACTGTTTTGCCCTATTCTATTTATGTATTATTTTGCTTTTCAGTATTTTTAGTATTGCTATTTAGTATTTTGCCTTATTTTAGATATTATTTTTACTGTTTTATCAATCACTGTTAATTGCTCATATATTGCACCTTTTCTAACCAGCTATCCAAACTCTGTAAATATGTAACTGAAATTGTTCTCCTCACTCGCATTGCACTCTTCTTCTATCACTGCACTATTGTCTCGCCCAGCATTTGTTTTCACTGCCCCGGCCAAAGTGTGTTATGTGGACCAAGTAATTTCGTCATCAGGGCTATCTGGCCGATATGCTAACTGCCTCAGTGGATCGGCTGCCTCGCTGTCGGTGGAAAGAAAGTAGGAAACATAGTAGACAATCAAAAGGGATGTAAATGAAATAAAAGGTCTTAATGGGAACTTTTATTGAATTTAATACAATAGTTGAATGGGTTCTATGTCAGTCTATGGCATATGATAATTAACTTGATAATCATAACTTCTGTATCATATTAGGTCTCCTAAGTTATTACATTAGGTTTGCAAGTATTTGGCTGCAATTCTATGCATTCCTTCATAGTAAATGCTGTCTGAGATGCTCTTTTGGATTCTTACTCCTGTTTTTTTCCTTTGACAAATACATTTCATGTCAGAATTCTGTGTATCGCATAACTGCACCACCCTCTGGAGAGAGCCATGGCTACTGGAATAGGCACAAGGACAATAACCAAGATGATACACAGGCTTGATGATACTTGGCTTCTACTGCAGGATTATTATTTAGCATTGCACTTCTTATTCTCTTCAGCACTATGTAGACACAAGAGAAAATGCAAATTTCCCAACAATATTTAAAATAGAAAATGTGCTTGTACAATATCATGCATAGACTCGAACTATTGCAAATTTAGCATAGTTCTTTTGAAAATCCTAAAAGAACTATAACTTGCAGAAAATATAAATATGCAGTTTTTCAGTGATAAAGAATAGAAATATAATGCAAAATAGAACCATTTTTCCACCACTTCCAATTGCAGAAGTCATCTGGTGATTTGAGAAATGATTGTAATATTATGATAATGTGATAATTGGACAACTTTCCTAGTACTGAAGAGTAGACACTTAAAAATTTATAAATTATTCATTCATGGTAATAAGTATGTAGTGATAAAATATGTATAGACAGAATATTATATTTGATAGTAGTAGTCTAATTTTCAAAATGTTTAGCTTAGTTTTATTTATAAAATCTATTGTAGCTATTCTTTTTTAATTGTTAAGTTGTTTATGTGTAAAATATACTATATATTAAAGTATATTTACTTGAAATTTCTTCTGTAGTTTTTTGAAAAGAAAGGGGTTATAAACGTATTGAAGCCAGAAGAAATGTTCACTGAAATCTGTGGCCAAGTTCCTAAAAGAGATCAAAATGTGCCTTCTCAAAATTAGGTTTGTATTTTTATATGTTGTTTAATTATTCTTGAAAACTTGAGTTGTATATCTTACATTATGAATACTGCAATTTCATCTTATTTTATGCAAATTAAATTGTCTTTTATGAAGCTATTAATTAAATATTATGTGAATTAAAAGTGATTTTTCTGTCTTAGGTACATTTTCGGGTATTTATATGCACTGCTGGTCCTTTTTTGCCATTCAGATGAAAGAAAATGGATAGGAAAGTTTATCCGTCAAGGAAGCTTGATTTTAAAATATCCAAACTGTGATGTTCTTTTGTAGCCTTCAATAAAGATTATTATTTCATTTTATTTTTAAATTTTATTTATGTATTTTGCTACTTTTTCATTCATGAAATTACTCATTTTTCATAGCTGCTGTATATATTCTAAATGCTAAGGTATTCAGATTACTAAATATGTTAAAGATTATACAGGTAATTGTTTTTCTTATTATAATTATGAATGTAATTTCATAAAACAAATTATTAGTAAAGAGAAGGCTAATTTATCATCAAGAAACTGCAAAATGAAGGAAATATAATTTTTATATTACCAAAGAAACAAAAAATAAACTTTATTTTAAAAATCAAACACAAAATTATTTTAGGAAACAAGCAAAAGAACTTTATGTGAAATTTTATCACGTTTAATCATCTTCTCCTGATGATGAAAACTTATCCCTGCTGTTTATTATTTCATCATAAATATCTCAATAATTCAATTCATGTTCTTTAGCTGTAATGGCTTTTTTTTTTTTTTTTACTGATTTTTTTAAAATCTGTGTGTAATTCAATGTGTAAGAAATGTTGAGTCTTTGGTGATATTTGAACTTTGCATGTTACTGATTAAGTGACTGTGTCAATTTTGGCAACTAATTATGGTAGCTGCTTTAATAAGGAAGTACTGGAATGTCTGTCATTTAGTAAATACTAGTGGCATTGCTTACCATTCATTAAATGTTCATTTCATTATTTTCAAGACATAAAACAATAGTCAATGTATAATCATGCAGGACAAAAAGTGTAGTAATAAGTTCTGATAGATTGTAGAGTATCTGAGAGCAGTACTCTCATGCAAGGGTTTCCAGCGGTGTTTGTATTGACTCTATAGAGGTCAATGAAATTTTTAAGAGGGTTAATGATACTCGAGTGGTTGATTGGGGGTCAATAGATGAATTAAAAAAAATGCACCAGCAACTGATCAACACAATTAAGTTCCCATTAATTACAAAAATATATATTAATAAAATTTATGATAAAATTTTAAAGAGGGTTAATGATTGGTAATCAAGGGGTTGATTGAGCGTCAATAGCTGAATAAAATGCACCAGCAATTGCTCAACCACAATTAAGCTTTCATTGATTACAAAAATATTTATTAATAAAATTTATAATTAATTGTTTATTGATATAAAGCTTATCATATGTTAAGAAACGAATTATATAAAATAAATGTAAGGAGTAAATACACTAAAATTATATATTTTTAATGTGATAATTGCAATGTATAAAAAAAGGTAAGATGCGTTAACACCAAAAAAAAAAAAAAAAAATGCACTACAGAATGGAAAATAAGAAACAAGTTGAATATTTTTAAACAAGGGGATTTAAAAGTTGAGCAATTTTATGCAAACTATTTAAAAAAATGCACCATACATCATACACAGCGATCACATTCATTAAAATCGAACTTTCGTTCCATTAAATTCTGCAATTTTGTTTGTAAAAACTTGTTTATATTTGTAAAATAAAAAATAATAATCCGCAAATGTAATGAACCATTTTTTTTTCAAAACTTTTAATATGCTTAGTCTAATTGTCTTTATGTGAGATTATTTGTATTATGATTATGTTGTGCACCGTATATTATAGAAAATAATGTCGGGGGGGGGGGTGGTCAGTGAAAAAAACCATTCCTCTAAAAGTGGCCGTATGTAAAAAACAGCCTGGGAATCCCTGCTGTAGTATGGTTAATTTCAAGATATAATATTTTCATATGTGAGAAATATCTGCAGAAACTGAGTAAATTTATGCATATAGTTCAACCATCTCAAATGCAACCCTGGCTGGCATTCTGCAAAAACATATACACTCGCCCAAAAGGAGCATTATTACTAGCTGTGACATGAAAGATCACGTGAAAGCCTGCTCATCTCTGGAAAGAGAGAGTTCATATGCTTGAAGGAAAAAGAGTCTTCATCTCCACCCTATTCTGAGAATAATTTGCTCCCAATGACACATGTGTGTTTGCCCTCATGGTCTCGGATGAGGCGGTCGAACTATAATATGTATTCAGATATTTATTCTTCAGTTCAAAAAGTGTAATTAATTACATACTTTTTTTATAATTATTTGAAAGATTCATTTCTGAAGTTTCAGTAAAATATCAGATTAATGATTGTGTTGCCATTTTTAAATGGAATTCTCTGTAGGACATCACATTCAAAGTTAAGATTTAAAATCATAAAAGGAAGTGATGTTTTTCATTTTGATAGTGCATTTCCAAACTTGTAGTTTCTGGTACCTGGTTTTATTGTGTTGTACAATGTATAATATTTGTCTTCACATTCTGTTTTGTTTCAGACTTCAGTATAAAAGACTTTTCTGACTTTCAACATGAAAATTTCTTATTTCAGTGACAACTGTTTACTACATTTTTGTAAATTACTGCAAAAATTAGCAGCACATTTCATACAAACACTTTGATTTTGATCTTTATCAACCATGTAAAATATTATTAAAAGGAAATATTTTGCATAAATATTACTCAGAAATTGCTGAATATACATCAGTTATTTTTGTCTTATGATAAAATTAATGTATTTTAATACAAATGGCTGAAACTGTTGAGAATAAACCATTTGCTTATATATTGCAAGTGTTCTTTTTCTCATACTAAGAGGGTTCGAAAAATAAATTAATCTTGAGTATTTATGGTCAGGGAAATTTTACTGAGTAATCCATTGCAAACTGACATAGGTACATCATAATTTTTTTTTTTTTTTTTAACAGGACTTTGTCTAAAATGCTTATCTGAACGTTCAGTTAAACAGTTGATCTCTTGATAACAGAAATATGTATGTTTATGAAGCGATTGTAGAATTACAGTGTGCATATCTTCATTATTGGCAAATTGTCATTCCTTCTGCCAGTTCTAGTATAGTTTGGGAGTTTGTCAGTCTAAAATTGCTTTGAATCATTTCATCAACCTGTAGTGAAGTGTTTCCAATGTAATCAACATTGATGGTATTTTAACTAATTAGCATTAGTCAAATGCATGTATTCACAGTCAAAACACTGGCATTATTTGACTTAACTGAAATAGTACTTTATTTATTCTATATTGTAGGCATGTCAAACACAACCTAGGCTGCCATTCACTCTTTTTTTTTTTTTTTTCCTTGTTGCCCTCAGTTTACCCTCAGAAAATAAAAAGTATATAAATAGATTAATAAAAAGTGCTAAAAAGGACTCTTGAGATAAAGTCTACAAAAATATTTTCTTAAACCATGCTGAGGAAGTACCACCTCATTTACAGATGGTATTAACATGAATTTAATCTGACTTGACTCGAAGCTTAAATTGCGCCGGCTCCGGTATTTCTCAATTTTCGACATAAATTATAATTTCAGCCAGAGCCCTCAATAAAAGGGCTCTGGCACTTCTTTTATGTAAGTGAACCACAATTTAGCAGATGAATTTTGTTTTAATAGTAAACATGCTTTAAAAATCGATTCTAACTTCTGAATGCAGGCCTGGTCTTTTCCCTCGCACGCAAGCCTTGAACAGAGGTTGAGACTTTTGAGGAAAGAAAAGTTCTCCAATCATATGCCAAAGGTTTTATTCTCCAGGATTTGCAATAAATTTATGAAAGCGGGCAAATTTTGGGTTCCTCAGAGTACTAAAAGTGATACCGTGGTCGTGCATGTTCCACGATAGTGACTTCGTATTGCAGAGCTCCTGTAGACTTTCTGAATGATGTAACCAAATGGGAGGACCACTGCTGTCACTTGTACAGAGATGGTGTTGGTGTATTTAATTATGGCAAAGCACACGAGGGCTATCTTCCTAAGGGGGGTGCCTTCGTGGAGGACTTTCTAAAGGAAACTGGCTCGTATACACGTTACACATGGGGAAAACCACGAACACACCCATGCAGCCAGCCCGTTCGCGGGATTCGAACCTCGGACCGAACTACCAGTGTTGAACGACTTTACCGCTCGGCCGCTGGTAGGCCCCACTTGTACAGAGAAGTCTTACATTTATTCTCACGTTGTTAGCGAATTGTATTGAGGAAAAATTTCTGCTTGACGGCTAGAATTATATAGACAGGTCATCGCGATCGGAAAGTCTTTAACACTTCCCTCTTTATTTGCAAAGCTACACTTTTCCATTAAAATTTCCTTCCATATTCTCATGCTGTTTCTAGAATTCTCATTATTGTCCTTAGGGGAGCTTCAATCGTTTTATCTTTTTTCCTTGGTATGCTGCAACAATGGGTAGTACCGATCATTCCTTGGAATAGTACATTACACATATAATCAGGGTTTAAACCCAGATGGAGGTCGGCTGAGCTGCTTCTTAGCTTCTAAGTGGAATTGCAGTTCCAACCAGTGCCCCAAATAAGACAAGGTCCGATATTTTTTTTCTTTTTATTTAACTACTTAAAATCAGTTAAATAATTTATTAGATTTCTCTTTACATTTCTCTTAATTTAAATTTAAGTATTTTAATTTTTAGTTATTTCTTTTTTTTTTTTTTTTTCTTTTCTTTTGTTCCTCACAGTCTTCCATAGGACTCCGGCGCTTCTAATTTTAGAAATTAAGCCCTGACTAAACTGTAAAGTGAAAATTCGGTGGAATGAGTATCTCCTAATTTTGCAAATACCTGCTTGTGTAGTTTGCAGAAAGCTGCAAATTTTGTAATTTCCAGATTTGGTTGTACATATCGGTGTAAACTTTTTTCACTTATGAAAAGGAAAACTCCTTAACGAGATCCATATTAATAGGCTTTCATTTGACCTCTGAAAATCGCTAGCGCGAACTGCATGTCTCCAAACATCTGAAATCTAGTAGAAAAAGATAGCAGAATAGAAAGAACAATAGATATTCGTTTACTACCTGGATTTACTTACATTTGTTCTATTTTTTAAAGAACTACAATATTGGCTAAAATTTTATGTATTTGCTCTACTTTTAAATGCATTACGAAAATAGCTTTGGGCTGTATTGTTAAATGATGGCAAAAAGGTTCACTTGAAGTAATGAGTTTGACATGCCTGCCATACACCCTGTACCTTTTCACAGTAAATCTT